GAAAGTACAGGCTTTTTGTTGTTCCTGTTCTGGTTCCTTTTTTTTGTTTGTTTGTTTGCCTGTCATGATGTGCTTTGCATTATGCTGAGGAAGGGAAAATTTATTAACTCCTTGCAGGGGGTGGGCTTGGGGAATGTGTTGAGGCTGCAGGATTTCAATAGTCTGACACTAGTCAGCTCTTCCTAACTTTACTGAGTCAAGCTGAGAAAGTATTTTGCCTAAGCTGTGATTACTATTTTAATTTAAAAGGACACAGTTTTGTAGAACTGGTAAATGATAGGATTTTTTTCTTACATTCTACTACAGTAAATGAGAAAACATGATGCTTTAAACAACTGTAAGATAGGATCTGTAGTAAAATACCATATTTCTCTAAGCAGCCTGCTGACTTGGTCAGCTGTGTGACAGTGTTAGAGGTACAGGCAAATTAATTCCCTGCCATGTGGGTCCTTGTAGATGGCACAAGACATCCTAGGGCAAATATAATACATTCCTTTAGCTTGGAGTGAGAACTGATTAAGCTACAGAAGGATTAGGCGTTTCACTACCAAAATCTTCACCACCACCCCACTCTTCATCCCACATTGCCTCATGCCCGACACAATCTGTTGGGAATGTATGACCCTGAGGGATGGTTTGCAAGAAGATAAAGGAGATTATGTGTTCTGTCATTAGGCTTTGTAAAAGGGCAGATGTGCCATTACACGGCTTATGTTTGCCCTCTTGGGAGATTTCCTGTTACTTTCAACAAAGTGCTGTTTTCAGGGAAATGAAGCAGGGATAAGAGCAGAAATGCTGAAATGCAGTAAGATTTTCATTTAGGATACACATTCAGTTATTTATCCCAGTTATTTAACCATTTATGATGGTTATCAAAGGTAATTAATGAGGTACAAAAATTTATTTTAAAGATTCATCTCCAAAGTAAGTAAGTAGTAAAGAGAAATTTACTGAGGGTTTCCTTTTTTGACTGATTGATTCCTGTATTGTACTGTTTTGCTTTGTTTTGTTTTTCTTGCCTTGGGAACAGACTTTGGGGAATTTAGAATGGTTGAGTAAAAATGGATTGGCAAGTTTTGCAATCCAGAAGCTGTGTATTGCAGTTTCCTAGGAGGAAGGATCAAGGCCTAATTTTGAATGATACAAACCAAAATCAAATAGAATTTTCCCAAGCTAGTGAAAACTTTGCCATCATGTTTGGAAAAGCACAGGCATAGAGAATGAGAGCTGATTGTCCAACTTGGAATTCATCCAAAGACAACTGAGGTTGTGGGTAATTTCTAAGTTCTTTTGAGAAGAAGCTCATAGCTGTGCCAATGATTGCAAGTTAAGGCTTCTAGGGAAATGAAAGTGCTTATAAAATGCAGCTTTCCCACGTCCAAAAGAAATGCTCAGAATGTCCTGAAGAGAGCGTGTGCTACTGGGACTGTCATGAAGGAAAACTCAGAAGTACCTGGTGGGTAGCAACGAGGGGGAGAGTGGCCAGATAACACTTGGCCAACAATTCTTGGGAGGGAGGCAGACTTGGTATATGTTCCTATCCAAAGCCAGCTGCCACAGGAAAATAATTATCACATATAATTGTCAGATATCAGTAAGCGACCTTTAGATAGACTCACAAAAAAGCAAGGCAAATGACTGAGTGGGTTATGCAAATTAAAGGCAGTAGCTTTAAGAAATGTTATTAAATCTACATGTTTGCATGGTAGAGTGAACTGATAAATTGATGATTAAGTTAGCAGATTGCAGATAGCCCAATGACATGGTTTTGCTCTTTGGTTTTTGAGATCCTGTAGAGATATCCTGTGGCTGGAATGTAGCATTCGGTTGTAAGAATTGTAGTTCTAGTCTAGAAAAACAAATGCAGGCGCTATAACTTTTTCTTTGAAAAAAATCTCCAAAAATGAGTGATTCTGGCTGTTGAATGTCTTCTAACATTGTGTGTTTCAAAATTTGAATCAATTTTTTTTTTTTATGTAAAGAGTTACAGCCCTTCTATAAAGCAACTTTGAGTTACAGCCCTTCTATAAAGCAAGTTTTTCTTTTTTTTTTAGAAATAAAAAATAAACATAGAGAAAGTTTGTTTAAAAATCATGAGTTCTAGCACAAAATGGGTTCTGCATTATTGAAGTTTGCCAAACTGTAGATAGATGGAAGATTTTATATATCAGTGCGTGGCTTAAGCTTAAAGATATGAAAGACATGTTCTTTTAATCAGTTTAGCAGGAAAGCTTTCTGATGAAAAACTCAGCGTGCTCATATTTTCCCATTAGAATAACAGTTCCCTTGATCTCTAAACTCAGTTTCTTGGCAGGGGGGACATCTGTCTCTGTTCAGCACAAGAAATCGTAAAGGTTTTTAAAGGGAATTGTCTATAAAGAATTGTCCAAGTAATTATTGCTACTCATGACAGGCAGGAGAGAAAAATTATCAGGAGAGCCTGAAAGATTCTGGTTAAGGCTCTTCTTTGGGGCTGAAGATACAACTGTGACTTCTGGCTCTGCACAGTTTCTGAGTGGTGCTGACAAAGTTGTTAATTTTTACTGTGTCCCTTCAACCTTTCCGGGGCGTCATTACTTCCTAGACTTTTGCTAGTGCTTGCATGTTTTCTTGGATGCCACAGCTGTAGATTTACCTCTAAATTCATAGCCGAAGATGTATCGCTCAGAGAAAAGTTTGGTCATAGACATGTTGCCCGCCCCTACAGCCCCTTCTCCAGGCCTGTTGCTGTAGCGCTGCATCCCGAGCTCAGCGACGTGTTGCCTCTTCCCCCGGAGCACCCCTGCTGCCCTCCCTGCTTCAACGTGTCTGCGGCGTCTGGCTCCGAAGGGCACACGGACAAAACCACTAAGGAGAAAATAACGCCTGAAGACCAGAAACTTCCTAGTCCTTAAATCCTTAACTTCTATTTTGGTAACTAAGACAATGTTCAGCATAATCCTTTAAAAAGGGCATATGCATTGGGTGTTTGCCCTATGTACCTGAAGGAAGTATTGATATTACCCATGCACACAGAGTAATATTTATTGGGAAGGATTAGAAATGCCAATCAATTAGTATAAAGTATTTGGCTGGGGAGTTGAAAAATTATTTGGAATAGAAAAGGTTACACTTTATGCTGATAAAACTGATTTAAAGAAATTATAGTAGCAATGCCTTCAATCTGTTCTGAAGATGGGAAGATGGGATTGCAGTAAACTGGACACAACTAAAAATCTCATCCTGTTTTCCATTGTGCTTGTGATAGAATACTGATGTAACTCCAGTTATTTCTAAAGCTCACAATTTATATGTTTACCTTTGTATCAATGTACTTTATCACTAATAATTTTGCACAGCACTCACTTTTGAGGAATCTAACTGTGCATTGTCATTTATGTGTTATTCAGGAAAGATGAAAGAAAGAAAGAGGGGATGTTCCTTATCTTTAGCCTTTATCTTCCTGTGCATCTGGATCATCGGACATGCAACTGCTGACTCGGATGACGAGAAAGAGGAGGATGTTCCAGGTACAAATTTGCAAAACACGACATGGAAAGCTCTCTCAAACAAACCAAAACCCACTGTGTTGAAATGCACTCCAGATGTAATTCGGGGAGGAACTTCCTCACAGTGGAACTAAGCAAGCGGAAGTGCTGAAAGAGCCCTGGGTCATTGTCCTAAGGGGACATGCTTGGAATTTGACAGTATGACTCACTGTTAGGACTGGGGAGGTTCTCGGAGCCTTACTGCTACAGAGCTGTTGTTTGTTTTAACTTCATCAAAAGAAAGTAAGTTGAGTCAAATTTCTATACTGGATGTCATTGTGAAGATATTTTGATTTCATCCTAAACAACTTTGAGAAAGTAGCTGAGAGAAAAATGCACACCTGGCACATTATTAAAACTTTCTTCTTTCCTTTGAGAAAATTCTTTAAAAATGGTGATGTATTCCTCAAGCTGCAGAGAACTGTCAGTAGATACTTCTCCCATTTAGAAACCTGGCTAGGAATGGAACTTAAGGGAAGCTTTTCATATTGGCACTGTTATTTATCTGCCCATATCTTGTCCAATTTCCAGACAGATTATTTCTGTCTGTCAGTGTTCATTGAGACAAAAATATTAATTCTGTCCAATGATGGCTGTACTACAAATGAAGCCAGAGCTTTAGGACTTAGTCATCACAGTTTAAAATATATGAGTCATTCTTCATTAAGCATATGTCCAACATCCTTGTGTAACTGGATTGTTTCATCAAGAAGAAATTTGCTTCTTTTTTATCCTGAAACACGTAAATTCTCTTTCCTGTGAAGGTAATATCGCATTTGTCTTTGCTCTACTTATGCAATTCTCTTTTAAAAAAGACCTCATCCCCAGCTGCAGTTCAAAAAGGTCAAGTTTTCTTGTTTGTTACCATAACACACTTGAGGAAAGCAAGTTGGGATTCTAGTTTAATTATTGCAATCTGCTGGATTAACTTTCCCTCTTTGTCCCCCTATGCTTTTATTTTGTTTATCAATAAAATAACATATCCCAATGTCTTTTAAAATAGTTTTTTATTTAAATATTTCACAACCAGTCATTTAAGATTATACTATCAGAAGCTAATTGAGTATGAGGAACGGTTCTGAACATTTGAATCCAAACTATAAGAAAACTGTGATGCCGAGAATTTAGAAGGCTGTTTTTCTGACTACTAATGGTTCATCTGAAGTACAAATACATTTTACAAAAACGTATTTCAGAGTATTTTGATAATATTTCTGTAATAATAATTAGGTCACTGCTACTTAAAATTCCTCCTGTAGTTCCTCAGGAGTAAAATTTTGTTACCAGCAAATTTAACTGCAAAAATCTCCTAGGCTGCAATTTCACTGATAGCATTTGTTTTCTGACCTAAACAGTTGTACAGTATTAAAACATTTCCCCACAGAGATGTATACATTAAAATATATATATAAAACATGAGCTGTGTGCAACTGTTCTAGATAATGTCATACTTTATGATCACATTGCTATATCAAATGCTATATAAGAATTTATTTGGTGTATGTTCGTTAGTATTTAAATTATAGTAGTAGTTAAGGTTACAAACGAGTCCGACATGGTAAAAAAGATTCTGAGTGTGTTCTCCCTTCTGGCAGTAACATTGTCATTTCTCCAGGAATCAATTACAATAATAATAAAAATAAAATATACATAGAACAGTTGATTTTGTATGATTTGGGGGTTGGGAGCCCTGTAGGTGATGATCCATCGTCTAAAGAGAATGACTCACAGTGAGCTAAATGTGCTTTTTATTCTAATGTGAAAGTTTATCAAAAATTAATGTGACTGCTTAAAGAAAGGGTAGGAAACACATGGGTAGGAAGAGCACTTGCTGCACTGTGTGTGGGTGGGAAGCTGTCAAATTAAGCTGACAAAGATGGAGAGAGAAAAAACAGTTATCCTTTTAGTGACAAGGTGCTTAGTTTTGATATCACTTATCAAAGACAGACATTTACAAGGAAGCCTGGAAAGATGACAGCCAATCTTTAAAATTAAGGATAGCCACAGAAGCTTATATAAGGGTGAGATCCTGTAACCTAATCAAATATAACAGAAAGTGTTCTATTTAAAACTCAATAATATCCCAGTTTCAATTCTACACAGTGTAGATAAAGTTTAAATCTATTTTAATTTATATAGCTTGCTCTGAAAAGCATCTGCAATAATCCTGTTGTCTTTCATATTTGTTGTGCCATAGGTATAATGCAGAAATCAATTCCATTCCTAATTGAAAGGATCTATCTTTAACCTGCAGCCCTGCAGATTATCCTTAGGTTCTTAAAGTCATTGAACTCATTGATTATGTCTGAGGAAGAAAAAAGTACTTTTTTTTTACTTATACTAAGGCAAGAGAATTGGGGGAGAAAAAAACAACCCGCCAGTGTTCTAGTGAGATGTTATTCACCATTTATGGTTTTATAATATTATATTGCTTACTAGTAAAGTAGTGCTTATTGGTATTGTTTATTAGCAAAGTGTGCATTTATCCTCTAAGTTTCATGTGCCCAGGGCTGCTGTGTGACTTGAGTCACACCGGTTTCTCTAGAGGTTTCGTGCTGCTGTTACTGCATGTCAGTCAACAGGCAGTAACTATGTCCTGGCAGCTATGCCTTGAGCTGCAAAAATTGCAGTATGAGTAACATAAATGCAAGACTGGCTGTGCTGTGTTTGAGCTGTCTTAGCTATCCTGTGCTTGAGCTACTCCATTTCTGGTAGTTGCCAAAAGTAGGAAGGCTGAAAGAATGGAGGAAGAAGATGGTGACATAGAATGTGTGTGCTGCACCCATGCTGGTTTGGAGCTGTTTCATTAGCAGTACTTTGCACTTGGTCAAGCTGTGGGCTGCTTAGAGAGTTAAGGCAGGGTGTCTAACACTCCGTATCCTCTGTCGTGTCGGCTTACTGTGTATTTCTGCTAAAACATGCTGCATCCTTATGGTTCAGGGTAGTACAGTCCTATACTTTTATAGCCTTTTAAGAAGTTTTCTCAGATTGGATAACTAATATAAATTCAACAGGACAAGATCTGCTGTAGAGGCCCAAATACATTTTCTTTTTAAAGAGATAAATCTAAGTACTACTGAAAAATACAAAACGGAAAATAACTGGATCAGCACCTGTATAACAAGGCTCTACTTGCTGAAAAGCAAGTGGAGGTTACAGAGCATTACAAAGAAAGTGTGCTGTTGTAACAAAGACGAGTAATTTATCAGTGTATTAAGAAAAGAGGAAAAAAAACAGAATTATTATTCAACTCTATCTGTCACTAATTAGGCCTTAGATGTAGTATTATGTTAGGCAGCACACTTGAGAGAAGAAAAAAAAAAAAAAAAAAAAAAAAAAGAAAAAAGAAGTCTAGACTGACTGGAAAAGATTCAGAGGAGGGCAGCAAGACCGATGGATAAAGAGAGTTGACTAAGGAAGTTTATTTAGCACAGAGATATTTGAGAGGAGACAAGATTCTTTAAAAGCAAGAGACTGGAGATATTATATTATTCTTCCTATGTACTGAAGGAATACTGAAATTGATTTGCAGTGAAATAATATGTAGGCTGTATTTTTTGGGTAGGGGGAGCAGAGAAAAGAACGTATTTTGTTAGAAGGATAATGAAATACTGGAACCCGCCACCTCAGACTGTTGGGAATTTTACTCAACTGGAGGCTTTTGGACATTCGTTAGAAAAAATCAAAGTATTTAACCCGCCACCTCAGACTGTTGGGAATTTTACTCAACTGGAGGCTTTTGGACATTCGTTAGAAAAAATCTCAAAGTATTTACCCATTAGAAAAATGGGGAGCTTGGATGAGATATTCTGTTAAAATTCCTTCCAGATTTAGATTACCATCTTCTACTGAAAAAGATTAGCTGACCTTCCTAGTAGTTATCTTCTCTAAATGTCATATATCATGCAGGACCTAAAATGTAGTACGAACAATTTGTCCCCAAGAGGAGATCTTGTACTAACCATTAGTTTTCTCCAGATAAGTTCCAGGTGTAAAATAGAGATATGAACACTTGTGACTATGCAGATCTGGCCACTCACGCTTTCCTTTTCATCTGCTGTTCCAGGTTGAGAAACAAAACTAATTCTAGATCCATCTGTGTGAGTTAAGTGTTCCCGGGGGGAATAATGGGGAAGAATTCCATTGCTGTTCCAAGGCGCAAGAATGACTCAGTTCCCTCGAAGCCCGTAGAGATGACTAGCTTTACCATCCTTTGGTTATTGTTCGGAGGGAGAGGGTCTGGTCCCTCTGGATTTCACAGGGTAGAGATTTAGTCAACAGATGGTGATCTACTATCACTTCTAAGAAAACAACTGTCTCTGCTACTTCATAGATTGCCAAAAGTGGCATCCACACACTCATTACATTTGCAGCAGAAGTCAGTAAATTTCTCAGTGGTTTGGGTGTCACTCGCTCTGACTCCAAAGGAAAGGCCTTGGGAGACAAGGAAAACAATGATTTGGTTTTTGGTTCTGTGGGTTTGATGGGAACTAGGCAAGGAACTGAGACCAGAAAGTTTCCAAGAGAAACTCTCCCAAACTATTACTTCATCTTTACGCAGTTTCACAGCTATACATGTGTGCTGTTTCTGCCTTGATAGCTTGCAACATTGGTGTAGCATCATGTAGCAAGCAAAATGGACTAATGTCTGAAATTCCAGGACTTAGGAAACCTAGGAAGTTTTCACAGCCTCTTTTGATTGGATTGAACTGAGTCAGTGACAAGGGGCATTTTGAGATGTTTTCTCAATGGATTTTCTCAATGTACGTGTTGTTCAAAATTGTCCATTGGCTCATGTGCATAAGCCACCATCTGTGGCTATTTGTGGAGAGTGTGATGAGGACTTGAAGCTTACAATATGAGCTGTTTTGGTTGAAAAATACAGTTTGGAAATTGCAATTCAATTCAAGCGAATGGATCCTGTGTTCCAGTGAAGCTGAAAATACTCTCTTTGCATCAATATTTCAGGTGTTCAGAACTTCACAGGCTGTGGGACATGCTGTGCCCCTCGAAGAGGCAGGCACACAACCTGGTTCTGAAGTTAGGCTGTGCAGTGCAGCAAACTAATTTCATAGTAATTATGGTACTTCTCCTTATCACAGGTGCTGCTTTACCACCACTGAAACTGGGGCATTCGATTTGTGCCCTGAAAGCAGACGAAGGCCCATGCAAAGCAATCCACATGCGCTATTATTTCAACCTGCAAAGCCGCGAGTGTGAAATATTTGAATACGGTGGATGCTACGGCAATGAGAACAACTTCCTCACACTGGAAGAATGTCAAGAGACGTGTGTGGTAACAGGTCAGAACCCATTAACCCCATTGCCCTATTAGCTCTTCATTTGTGTCTGCTAGTTGTCATACATGAGGCTCCTCTTGATACCTAAAATGATCTTGCATTTATGGGACTCAGGTGGAGTGTGTCTGTGTCGAGAGGGAAGTGATGACTATAGAGAGAGACCGAGGGGCAAAACAACGCTAGGAAGACAGTTCCAGAATAGCCAGCTCGTTGAAGCTGAGTGGTAACGCTTAGGTGATTCACCAACCAAGTATTTTTTCCCCAAGTCAGTTCATACCCTGGATATTACTGATGATGGTGATTTATAGAGCAAAGCAGCAGTAGTTTCTTCAGTGAGACTAAGTATAAATAATATCAGTCTGACATGGTGCACTGTATGTGAGCATAAAGTTTCATTGGTGAAAAAGTATCAGAAGAACTAACAAAACGCATCCTTGCTAACAGATTTTGACTGCTATTGATCCCTATATATTTCCAAATAGGAGTCTGCATGGTTTTATCCACTTGCTAAATATTAAGTCTGATTACTTAACCACTTAGACCTGTTTTCTGATCTGCTGGCACCCCCGTGTGGCTTTTTGTTGAACTTGATGCTACTGAGAATCCTCTCAAGGCACGGGCATCCTCACCCTAGAACTGCTGCTTCACGAACCCGAGCCTTTAATTTTTGAGCAAAAGCAAATTTCAGATTTTTTTTTAATTATTCTATTTTACTTTGAAACACTTGTGTGTTTGTAAAAGCTCTGACAGATGGGAAAAAAGGACACTAAGAAATGTCTTCAGCAATTGGTCAAAAAAATCAAATCACTCCTTACTACCTGACTGAGTAGTAGTGTCTCAGTACTCTAAGGATTGGTTTGATGCTGTCTTGTAATGACTTCTGGTAGGATCCACTAACTCTCCTGAGAGAGGAGGTGCTCCAAACAAGTGGCAAGAATCAGTCAGTATCTCACACTCATTTCAGGAGCCATGTATAGGTAAATGTAACCTCTACGGTATTTAAATAAGGTTTGTGTTGACATAACACATCATCAAGGAATAATTAAATGTTATTGTCATTCCTTAGTTGTTAAAATAATGGCATCTATTACTTCAAGTCACAAAAGAGAGGATGTAAAGAAAAGCATTCTTCTGAACATAAATATCCTGTGCTAAATGCAAGCAAACATGTAATCAATGAAACTCAGTCCGTCTACCTGGATCTAAATTGGGTCTTAAACCAACCCTTACTGAATTGGCCAAGAAGGGAAAGAACCTTTACCTCAGTAATTTAATTTATTTCCACGTTGAAGGGTCAGATACTGCTGGAAGTGTGGATTAGTATTTTGGTATTAGATCAGGTATGTGTATTTGTTTCTTTCACCATTAATTATTGCACAACTGTTTTCACTATATATTGTTATTTCTCTGGAGCACATTATTTGTGTCTTTTTTTTTTTCCCCCAAACCTGAGCAAAACAGATACATAATATAGAATTCAAGTGAATGATGACAGATGATGATGATGATGATGACAGGTCTTATTAGAAAATCAGAGCAGAAAATTAGTGCAGAAAAAAAATGAAAGACCCAGTTTGTGTTTATTCAGTACACAAAGGTAACATGAATGACATTTCAGTCCTTTCTTACCTCAGATATTTTGTTTTTATATTGCTGCAGATTGTTCTATAAAAAAAATCTGGCTGTTTGTCCTATTCAGAATAGAATTATGCAATATTTAAGGACAGCAAACAGCCCTGTGCAACTTATAGCGCAGTTTATAATCAGTAACACCTTTAGATTTGGCTCTGGTTTCTCATAGTTTTGGTAGTTCTATTATCCCTGTATTTGGGTCATTTCCTCTGATTTTAGTGGATGGTAGTAATGGAGGCAGGAACGTGCTGCTTGAAAGGCAGGAGCTGAACTCTTTTCAGATTTGGGCTCAAGGCAGCCACCCACTAAACCAGAGGTAAAGGACTGCTTGATCATTTGCTATTCATCGCCTCCTCAGAGGTTTACAGCTACAGAAAATGATATCCTACCTATATTTAACCCAGCCTAAGTGGATTTTTGAGTAGGAATTAATATTACTTATTATGTGTGTTTGTCTAGAAGATGTCACTCTGGCCAAACCAAATTATGTTATTTTTATGAGCACAGAGAAGAATTAATATAATTTTGAGTAATTTTAAAATGTTATTCAAGTTGTGTCATTAGTATTTGTCATAGTAATTGTGTGTTTACCTGACATTGGCCTTTCTATGCTAAAATTCTTCCTTTGTCATGCAATTAAAGTTTCCATGAGTCATAAGTTTATATCAAGAACTTAACTGATGTTTTCTTTCCATGAACAATGAGCCCAAAAGGTTCTTTCCATATTTATTAAACTTTCATAATAGAAATTAACAGAACTTACAAATGAAATCCACAGTTCATATATATGCAAGTTTAAAAAAAGGGTGTCAGCAAGATTGTTCAAAAGAAAAACCTGCCTTTAAAGGCATTTTTCTCACTGCTGTAGTGCTATTTCACATTTTGTTTAGACAGTTGTGATAATCTGTCTCTAGGCATGGCCCCAGAGATTCAACAAATACAATTCTTAAAGACAAGAACTGGAAAGCTCTTTTTCCTGATTAGCATCCAGTGTCAGAAAGACAGCAGATTGACTTTTGGCACGTTACTTCTCTTATCTGGTTTTGGGTTTCAGCTGAATCCACAGAATTTTTGCCATCCTTAAAACAGAGTGGTCTGCAGACTGCAGCTGCCAGTATCTCCTCCAACCACACAACTTCCTGGTGGCTTGGAATGCTTTCCCTAAATTCATGGAGGCAGAATTTGTAATGCAGAGTGCACAAAACTCATGATCAGGTGCCATGGACAAAGTTCTATTCCTCAGTCTAATGTTGCTATTTTGAGCAATGGTGGTGTTTTGACCTTAATGTACATGTTGTATTGAAATCTGAAACAGATCTTCTGGGCTAGATTTTATACTGGCATATAATTGGCTTAACTCTATAGAACGAAAATGAAAGTTTATTTAAATGACACGTGGCTTTGTGACTGCCTGTCAGTGTTCATCCTGAGGTACAGGATTTGGTGATCTGTGATCGGAGAACAACTAGAAGCTGAAGCAATGTTGACCCATCTTGTATGTATTCTCTGAAGAGAATATCAGGTCAAATGGTTCGGTGGCACACAAAGCACACTGCATACTCAGCCGTGAACCTATCAATTTATTTTTCCCTTACCAACATAATTCAGTAAAACTAAGTCCTGTTCATTAAATCTGACTCTGTGCAGGCTCATAATACATGGCTTTATTCATTTTATCTGAGTATTTCCAATATTTATTACTGAGGAAAGTTCTCTTAGCAAATTTGTAGAAATCAGCCTGAAAAGAAAATTTAAGTGATGGGAAAATGCCTAAAAATGAAGACATATCTAAGAGATAGTCAGAGAATTCTCCCTGCTGACCAGTTTCTCGATTCTCAGGATAGAATCTAGATACACAAGAGGTCCTGATCATGCATAGACTAAATAAAGGTCAAGTCTGGTTTAAAGAAAAAGGGGGGGGAAGTTGTGAAATTTACCAAGTCAGAAAAAATAGCTGAAGTAGCCCAAATGTCTGATTTTCCATTAGTAAGCACAATGTCAAGAAGTGAGCTGACACGAGTGATTTGCTAGGGTTCTTAAATCGTAGTGACTTTTAAAAAAAAAATTACATGAATAATCCTTCAGTGAAAGAAACAATCAAGTCCCAGAATTAATTAAAGTCACCATGAGAGAGCTCCAAATGTGTTTTCTCTCTGCTTCAGGTTGGCCACTCCAAGTCTCTCTAGGACAGTGTTCTGATTCATGACGCAGTCTCTTAGAAATCAGCAGTGGGGGGTTTTGAAATCAGCAGTGGGGGGTTTTTTTCCCCATTTTTTTTTTTCTCGTGCCCAAAAGTCACCGCTTCAGAGAGACAAGTTTTCCTGTATCCCCAAGTGTTTACTGAATATGAGTACAATCACAAGTATCAGCGCTAGCACAAAGTTCCTGATGGTCAAGGCAGTGAATATATGTCCTAATAAGACTACCTCACCTTTCACACATGGCAAAATACCAGCTGGTAAGAGGTTCTGGACGTGACAACAGTGTTCATGTCTGTTCTTCACACAGCAGAACTACTCAGGAATATAGTGTGTTTGCAGAGAAAAAGTTAACTCAGCTGTGGATTTGGCTTTTTGGATAAAACCAGGAGCAAAAGACACCATTGAAATTTTGGTGAGATTAAAAAAATCTAGGCCTGTGTAAACTCAGAATAAATTCTTCCTGTTTTGTGCCAGAAGAGTAGAGATCACATGCCAAAGCATGATTGCTGATTTGGGTCAGAAGGAGACAGCTGTGTGAAATTAGTGAAATTGCCTGATGTGAGTGTCCAGAAAAACAAAAAGAAAGGAAAAAGAAAGAAAGGTCATGGGTTTAATGCTGAAGGCAGAGCCTGCTACTAACAGGAAAGACTGGAAATATGTTCAAACAAATGCTGTGTTGGCCCAAAGTACATGTCATGTCTATGAATAATATTTTTTTAAGGATGCCAGCTGCATTGTCCTAGAGAAGGAAGGAAAATGTATCATGAAAGAATTTCTACCAGATAGACTTGCTTTGAAAATATAATACAAGCCATGTTTCCAGAAGAAAAAAGAAAAAAGAGTCTAGAAAAATAAGCTGCGGTAGGATTATGGCACACAAGAAGAGTACAGCTAAAACTAAATACTCTTAGCAAATCTCTTAAAATAGGTGCCATGGCAGATATGACACTGTATAAATGATGGTTACAAGGACTTGCAAGAGACTGTTTTAAATAGTTTGAAAAAAAATCTTTTTTTCAACCCTTGTTACAAGCAATAGCTTGGCTAATGTGTAACTTCATGATTAGACAGCCTCCTAGATGGGAATGGATGTGGGATTTCAATTCCTGAAAAGGAATGTGAGCTTAAATTCAAATAACTGAGCAAGTACAAAAAACAAACAAACAAACAAAAGAAAAACAGCCTGTACATTAAACATGTCAATAGAAATTTTATCCCCACTGATGGTGCATTAAAAAACACAGTGCAAACAAGTTTCTGTCTCTACTACCCTCCGGACAATTGTAGGTGCGTGACAATGTATTTTAATGTCATGAACAAAATTAAGAACACTTTGACACTACCTGACATAGCAAAGGAAATTAGGTAGCATGGCCTCTCATGAGACTTA